ACTAAAGTGGTTTGGGTTACGCGCCGTGGTCATTGACATTTGCGCGCTTTTTTTCGCTTAATACACAGATGATTTCAAATGGATTTTAACACGGAAAAAACTGGGCATTTAGCGTAGAGAAACCATGATATCCGACGCAGGTCAGTGGCAGTATGCCGTACAAGTGATCGTTGATGTATAGCGCCTCTCATATCAAGCCTCATTCAACTACACACATTTCAACTACATGCCGAGTGTAAAAATAATATAGCTAATTGAAATATGCTTTGTGCTTCCGAGTTATACTTCATCTGCTGTATTAACACACTCCGCGCTACATTGATTACATCCTACGTTATTGTACGTTGTCTATCTTCGTACGATCTGCAGCTGGGCTAACTCAACGGGCGTGTGGCTATGAAGGTGTGCAGACAAAGGCGAAGACAAACCTAATGGGTAGTCTTAGTCTTATCACCTAAGATGTGTAGGATGGTATAGTCAGATCTGGTGATGTAGTATTGCATCGCTTGAATAAAGTAGCAGGTATTAAGGTTTTTTAGCGACCGGGCTAATGTGTTTCGTACGAGCTATATTGTAACCATTTTGTTTAGGTTACCCCTCACAGTCGACGGCGGGCAGCAAGTTAACGAGTTGGAAAGCATAGTATTATCGTTATGAGTAGCTAGAGCGGACCTCCTCGTTATTGCGGAAGTGGGTATTTCAGAAACGTGAAATTGAATGTAGTGTTATTATACTATAAGAACATTTGCGTTGTATCAAGAGCGCAATACTGTTCAATCGCTTTGCATGATGGCTCCGTAGTTTGTAGTCATTACATAATATTATTATATATATATATATATATATATATATTATATATATATATCATATACACATATATATACAGTGTATATAATAATGTTCATGTTGTATGTATCATTTTTCGTTCTAGGACAAATACCGTGCCCTGGACAATCGAACCCCGCGAAAAATTACGCCGCGGACAATACCCCCACATGCCATTCAGCGCCCCGGACAATGGACGCCCTTCGGACAACTGCACCACCGTACAATTACCCCCAGACATTTATCCCCCGGACATTTACGGCCCCAGACAATTACGCGGGCCCGGAACATTTTAACCGCCTGGACACATTACGCCCCGCGACATTTAAGCCGCCCACCGGACATTTACCCCCGGACATTTAACCCCAAAAAATTATCACTTGGTGTTTCTTATTACATGCTGTTTGAACAGTGATACAGGGAA